TAGTAGTAGTAGTAGTAGTAGTAGGAGTAGTAGTAGTAGGAGTAGTAGTAGTAGTAGTAGTGGTAGGAGTAGTAGTAGGAGTAGTAGTAGTAGTAGTGGTAGTGGTAGTGGTAGTGGTAGTAGTAGTAGTAGTAGTGGTGGTAGTAGTAGCAGTAGTAGTAGTAGTGGTAGTAGTAGTCGTCATAGTAGTAGTAATCGTCATAGTAGTAGTAGTAGTAGTCGTAGTAGTAGTAGTAGTAGTCGTCGTCGTCGTTGTCTCTCCCTCCTGTCTTTCCCCCCCCTACCTTTCGTCCCCCCCCTCTCAAGTCACAATTAACGGAAGACACATGGATCCGTCTCACCACGAGAGAAAGAATACCGCTGTGGATCAACCTTTGAGCAGAGGATTTCTTCCAACTCATTTCTGTAGACGGATCCCGCCGTCCTTCTGCCGTATAGGTTTCCTTCCAACCTGAAGAAAAGTTCTTTGAACGATTCCTTGCACCAATCCTTCATTCAATTCGGGGCTGAGAGTTTCTAGCCACTCAAGGAAGATGTCGTGCCACTCAACTGGTGCACGCATGTAGACATGCTTCCCTTCGCTGGCTCCTCGGTCAGCTCCAATCAAGAAGGCTGCGACGATGTCCAGACTTCGGGCGTAGTAACCCTTTGTCAGAGCATAGACCTCCAGATGATTGCGTGCTTCTGGGGTAGGAGTTGGAACGAACACGTCCAATCCCTCCTCCTCGGCTGCTGTGTAGCGAGCCTTGACGTCAGCGCATGTGAAACGCGACTTGTATGCTCCTTTGGAACACTTGTCAACCCATTTGTGTGAGAAAATCTCGAAAGGTAGCGGTGAGCTACCTGAGTTCCCCCTTGCGTAGCAAGTATTAGGGGGCGAGCGGTGCAAGTGCAAGAGTTTGGGCCGGTTATGTCTCGGTCCGCCTTTCAAGGGGGGCCCCCCCCCCCCCACCCTTCGATTCCCCCCAGGTCCGCCTCTAAAGCCGGGTTTGCAACATAGGCGGACTACAAGGAAACGCCAACAGCCGCACATGCACTTTCATCCACCACGTTTACATACATCCCCACCCCAACCGAAGTCAAGACCCGCACTGAAACTCGACAATGTCAGATTGCTCAAGAACTTTGTTTCGTTCACCCTAACAACCGCGATGAACAATGTCGTAGCAAGAACGTTGCGACGGACTGCGTTGCAGTAGTCTCAAAAATCGTACATGATATACCAGTAGTACCGCACAAGGCGGTGGCGGAAGTTTCAAAAATAGGAAACCTATAGGAGAGATTGGTTGTTGCGAATCAGAGATGGCAGAGCGAAGCCACTGCTGGACTGAAAGGCGATTGATCTCTCTCACTCTTGTCTACCTGTCTATCTATCTATCATATCTATCTATCTATCTATCTATATCTATCTATCTATCTATCTATCCATCTATCCATCTATCCATCTATCCATCTATCCATCTATCCATCTATCCATCTATCCATCTATCCATCTATTTCTCCCTCTATCTATCTATCTATCTATCTATCGATCTATCGATCTATCGATCTATCGATCTATCGATCTATCGATCTATCCCTCTATCCCTCTATCCCTCTATCCCTCTATCCCTCTATCCCTCTATCCCTCTATCCCTCTATCTATCTATCTATCTATCTATCTATCTATCTATCTATCTATCTATCTATCTATCTATCTATCTATCTATCTATCTATCTATCCTATCTATCATATCTATCATATCTATCATATCTATCATATCTATCATATCTATCATATCTATCTTATCTATCTTATCTATCTTATCTATCTTATCTATCAATCTATCAATCTATCAATCTATCAATCTATCAATCTATCAATCTATCAATCTATCATATCTATCATATCTATCATATTTATCATATCTATCATATCTATCCTATCTATCCTATCTATCTATCTATCTATCTATCTTATCTATCTATCTGTCTAGCTGTCTACCTGTCTATCTTTTGTGCAGTGTCATTCAGTGTAATGTAGTGTAGTGTAATGTAGTGTAATGTAGTGGAGTGTAGTTGTAGTTGTAGGTGGTAGTGTAGTGTAGAGTAGTGTCGTGAAGTGTAGCGGCAGGTAGTGTAGTGTAATGTAGTGTAGTGTAGTGGAGTCTAGTGTAGTGTAATGTAGTGTAGTGTAAGGTAGTGTAGTGTAGTGGAGTGTAGTTGTGTAGTTTTAGTTGTAGTGTTGTGGAGTGTAGTGTAGTGTAAGGTAGTGTAGTGTAGTTTAATGTTGTGTAGTTGGGTAGGTGTAGTTGTATTTGTAGTGTAGTGGAGTGTAGTGTAGTGTAATGTAGTGAAGTGTAGTGTAGAGAGTGTAGTGCAGTGTAATTTAGTGTAGTGGACTGTAGTGGACTGTAGTTGTGTAGTTGTAGTTGTAGCCTGTAGTGTTGTGAAGTGTAGTGTAATGTAATGTAGTGTAATGTAGTGTAGTGCAGCAAAGTGTAGTGTCATGTAGTGTAATCGAGTTAAGCGAAGCAACATCTGAACCGCCAAAAGTGGTCCGAAACCCTAGTGTTTTTAACATGTTAACTTCCAAATCTGCTTCGCGCCACAACGGCATGCACTTTTTCGAAACTCGACATCTCAGCCTCCAAAAGTGGTCCGAACATGGTGTGGTTTGTACATTTTGACTTCGAAATGTGCTTCGCGCCACAGCGGCGTGCACTTTTTCGAAACTCGACCTCTTAGCCTCCAAAAGTGGTTCGAACCCCTGGTGTTTTGCACATTTTGACTTCGAAATGTGCTTCGTGCCACAACGGCGTGCACTTTTTCGAAACTCGACCTCTGAGCCTCCAAAAGTGGTCCGAACCCCTAGTGTTTTTAACATTTTGACTTGGAAATGTGCTTCGCGCCACAACGGCGTGCATTTTTTCGACATCTTAAGTGCCAAAAGTGGTCCGCACTTGGTGTGTTTTCTACATTTTGACTTGGACATGTGCTTCGCGCCACAACGGTGTGCACTTTTTCGACATCGCAACTTCCAAAAGTGGTCAGACCCTGGTGTGTTTTGTACATTTTGACTTGGGGATGTGCTTCGCGCCACAACGGCGTGCACTTTTTCGACATCTGAAGCGCCAAAAGTGGTCCGATCCTCTGGTGTTTTGTGCATTTTGACTAGGAAATGTGCTTCGCGCCACAACGGCGTGCAATTTTTCATGTCTCATCTCCCCATATGTCTCCACACCCGCCGCTTTAGCGAGCCTACTTTTCGACCCTCCGGAACCACAAATCATTGGAAAAACGCAGTGAATCGCGACTTTCCTACCTTTTCGCGCATCTGCATCTTCTTTCTTCTGACTCTTTCTCTTCTGAACTTTCTCTTCTCTCTGCCTCTGCCCTGCTCTGCTTTTCATCTGTCCATATTGTCGGAAGTTTAGCTTCTCAACTTCCTTCGACAATATAGTTAAAGATATGTATCTATATAATTATATATATACACATAATAATTCCATGATATATATCCATATATACTAAATAATCTCAATATACATATAGATTCGTATATATATATATATATATATATGCATACTCTACCCAGCAATTGTGGGATATTGCGCTTTGGCTAGTGGTTGCCGAAGCATAATCGCTGCCCCTTGCTCAGCATATATAGATCATTTGGTGGATTTTCCGCAAGGGTTCCTCCAAGATATTCTCTTCAACCAAAAGACTTCACTAATGACATTTCAATATGTTTCATATATATGTATATTCGTATATATATAGTTATCATGTTTAATAACTAGAACACCTATAATGACTAGAATTACTATAATAACTAGAACATAATTATCACAACTATATTGAACCCCCCCCTTCGATTCCCCCAAGGTCCGCCTCTAAAGCCGCGTTTGCAAGAAGTCACCCCGCGGGCCCACTTTTTGCACCAAGATTCCAGCACCAGGATAGCCCTAAGTCAGTTGCTTTGGGTACATGCTGGGGTCAAAACACCACGTTTGTGAATCCCACACTGTTCTACACATGTACACACCAGAATCAACCCCATCCGCGTTGCAACAGTGTGCTGCCCCCAGTTACACGTTGCCTCGCAAACCCCATAACCTGATATTTATACATATATCTAACTATATGTATGTATTTATATATATATATATGTCTGTGTGTCTGTGTGTGTGTCGTGTCCCCCCTCCCTGAAACCTACCTTTTTGGTACCCGCCCTCGAGTCCAAGCCCAGAAGACTTTTTTCGATATCCGCCCCAACTCCACCCACGTCCGTCCGCAGCGGATATGCCTCGTTCCCTTGCTCTCTTCTCCTGTTCCAACCCACGCCTACCTTTCGATCTTTCACCCTTCCCTCTCAAGTTTGTGAACCTTTTGGGATTTCTTGGCGGTGCACGGGTGTGAAGGCACCTCGCTCCCAAAGCTTTTGAAGTTGGACTTTTCGCGCTTTGGTGACCTCCTCTGGGTTGAGCAATTGGTCGACGAAATCCGTCACATTGGCTACCCTTTGCAAAGCCATTGGATTGCTGTTGTCTTCGGAGTTGGCCCATTCTTGGATGTGGGACCAGATCTCGTGATTTGTTAAATGCTGCAAGACACCTGCTTGCCTGGACTGCTTGGCTTCAGCTTGTCCCGGTGCAAGCGCTGCCTGATCATCTCTCACTCGCTTCCCTCCTTGACCAAGTCCGCTCGGACTCATTGGTTCGTCCGGAAGATTTTGAAGCGTCGATGACCATCCCGCACCTCGGAAGGGCGGAGGCTGCCCGCTCGGCCTTACTGCCGGCGGAGGATCTGCAGCTTCAGATCTTGCTGGCGTGGTGGGCACGCAGCTTAGCGCGTCGTCGTCGTCCGCGGGGATACCCGCTGGGAAGTCCTCGGCTTGGTCGCCAAGTAGGTCTTCCAGCTGGGCTGCGGCTTGCACGACTAACCCATCCTGGTCAACGTTTTGACCGTCTTCTGCCAGTGTCGGATGTTCTTCCTCTGGGGGTTCTGATGCCAGCGCGGTGGGACCCGCTGCGGCTGGCGCTGGGAGTGCCACTGGTTGTGACAACTCTCTGTTGATCTTGTGCCTCATCCCGTCGCGGGGTTGCCAAGGAATTCCTTTCATGTCGTTCATCAGCTCTTGACTGGTCTGCGATCCCTTTGGCAGTCTTCTCACTGATCTCACGGCGATTGCCCCAGACGACGTGCCGAGCACATTGCTGTCGTCTCTGTCCAGGTTATCTAGCCATACGCCTTTGATCCACCTTCGCTGCATCTTGCCCCTCGGGGTCGGTACTTTTCCTAGAACTACTTTGCCTAGCATGGCGACTGGGTGAGAGTAGTCGCTGCCAGTTGTCAGGCGGTAGGGCGTGAACCCATCTTTTCCTCTCACATGGAAACGTGCTATCAGCCATGCCGTGTGGCGCACAAGCCACGGTGTCAAGTTGCTGGACACGTCCAAGGAAGGATACCGCTTCCTGACGTCGAGCCATAAAGCTCGGATTTGGCTTGCTACGAACCCACTCATGGATTCCACAGTTCCCTGTGATTGGTGCTGCTTGGGCGGAGACTCCCGCACAGAGGCTCGGCTGGATCCAACATGTCTTTGGATTGACTCAGCCAGTGCTCTGATTGAGGGTTCGCCATCATGCTGTAGAATGACTTTGTTGTACCGAAGGTTCTTCAGGTAGAGGTCCACATTCTGTAGACAATACCTGGACTGGGCTACCTCGGTTGACTTGTTGGGAAGTTGAAGTGCCAGCGGCCAACCTGTCACCGTGTCAGTCAGACACAGGATTGTGACCAGCCTTGACTCATCTTCAACCTCTTCCTCCTTCTCAGGAGAGAGAAAGAAATAATCCATTTGGATCAACCCTGTTCCTTCACGTGCTGAGGATTGATCCCTCCTATGCCAATCTTGCTTGGCCTTACCCGACACGCACTCTTCACACCATGGTTGAAACGGTAGGTGTGTAAGGCGGTGGGATTCCACCTGCGCCTCAGTGGGGCTTATAGGTTGTGACAACCCCTCTGGCTCCACAGGTGGCGGGGCTTCCGCTTCTTCCTCCAGGTCTGCCAAGAGACCGGGGTCTTGTTCCAGAAGCTCCTTGGCCTTTCTCACTTCTTCTTCACGCCTGGCATATTCTTGCACTGCCTCGGCTTCTTCATCTTCTTGCATGGCATAGGCTTGAACTGCCACTGCATCTTCATCGATGGCTGCCACCTTGCCATATCTGGTGGTAGGTTGTTCCAACTCTTCAAACGGAAGGAGAAACTGTTTGCCCTGCCTGGCAAACGTGGCTTTCCTGCCATCTGCCCATTGGATGTAGCAGTTGTCACTTTCAAAGTGGACACTGGCTCCCATGTCCAATGCCCTGTTGACTGACAGGATGTTTTCGTTCACACCTTCAACCACCTGAAAGGTGACTTGAGCTTCTTCTTTGAGCTTGTCTCCAAGCCTGAGCTGAGGGCGGATTTCCCCGCACGCCTTCAGTGGAGTGTCATCCACCGTGTATAGTTCCTCAACGGCGTTGGGGTCCAAGAGAGCACTTGGAAAAGTCTTAGGTCTACAGACTGAAGAGCAGGCCCCTGTGTCCACCAGCAGTGTGCCTCTGCTGGCAACCTTGGCCACTCGTGCAGTGTCATTTTTTTGGAAGACTTGAAGTGCCCATACCCTGGTGCCTTGAAACGTCTCGTGTGGCTCATGCAGGAGCTTCCATTTCTTTGTGAACTCCTTGCAATCCCAGGCGTTGGACTTTTCATTCCACTGCCACGTTGACCTAAACGTGTAGCCAGGATACTGCGACCCTGGTGTAGCATACTTTCGTGTGGCACCCTTCTTGCCTTTCACCACAAACACCTTGGTGTTGGGATCAGGGTCGTGCCATCCAGGTTGGTCTTGATAGGCAAAAATTGCTTCCAACTTGGCTACAAGAGATTTCTTTGCCAAAATGACATTGCCAGTAGATATTCCTCCACCTTCTGGTATGGCCAAAATGGCCTTTGGTGAAACATGGCGGTGTTGCCCGCTGCTGGTGGCCTTGACCATGAGAAGTCGGTGTTCCCCGATCATTCCAACATTCTTCCCTTTGTTGGATGTGGTCGTGGATGGAAGGGTGATTACACTTTGACCACCAACTTGAGATGCAGATGGCCCTGCAGAGATCACTGACGCATTGTCTTCAGTGATACCTGCAACTCCTTTCTTGCCCTTCCCCTTTGGTTGGCCTTTTGAGTTGAACCAACACTTCTCAATGGTACGGCCGGTTTTCCAGCATATGGCGCAACGATCCTTTTCCTGTTGACCTTTGCCACCTTTGTTGTTGTGGCTGTCTTTCCCTTTTCCTTTGGCCTCTTTCCCTTTGCCCTTCTTATGGTCCTTTCCCTTGCCATCTTTTCCTTTCCCCTTTCCTTTGCCATCACCAGCAAGGCTGATGTCCATGGCATCTGGGTCTCTTGTGCGTGCGGTGGCTCCCGCATACGCGGCTGATGGCCTCCAAACTTGCTTTGCTTGCAGATAGGACACCACCACCTCACGCACAGACTGATACGTGGAAAGGGTTCCAATGTGCATGGAAAGGTGTTGCTTCAGGGCGGTTGGCGCCTCAGTAAGGACTACAGCTCTTTTGTCTTCGTCACTGATGGCCTTACTGGGACCATATTCGGCCTCATACTTGTCAAGATCAGCTTCCCACTCTTGGAGTGCCGCTGAAAACTCGGCTTCTTTTGCAGGAAACTTGGGACTGAGCAACGAGCGCCGCCAGATCAAACTCTTGGAGTGATTGTCTGGGGCCATTTCACGCCACAACAGTCTCCAAAACTCAAAACCATTTTGGTCTCGAATGCCACGGGCAATCTTACTTGCCACTGCCAATTCTTGGGTCCACGAGTTCAGCATTGCAAACAATTGCCTCCCTCGGGATTGGCTTCGTCAGTCATATCGACTGGATCTACAAAGTTGTTGAGCTTGCGTGCATTGTCCAAGTCTGCTGGACAGTTTTCGTCCAGCAAAACCAAGTATGTTTCTACTTGGAAACTGAACCGTTCCCATTGGTCTCGACCCTTTAAGGATTGAGGCTGTTTCACAGACTTGAGCACGTCAATATGATTGACCGGCTTACTGCTTCCGGCGGGTGTTCCCGCGCTCTGGAGCGGGGGAACTTGCCCTTGGGCGACGCCTACGTTCGCGGTCTGCTGCAAGGATTGCTGCAATAGTGCCATGACGCCTGTCAGGCGCTGGTCCAGATCTTGCTTTTCCTGCTGCAGCTGGGCGTTCTGTTGCACCTGGCTCTGATGGGCGATATTCAGCGCTTGCATCTGACTCGCTAGAGCATCCATCCTCAGCTGCATTTCGCCGATGACCTGTTGTGGGTCTGTCATCGCGTTCTTCTATGGGCCTTTCGTCCACGACCTCTGTGGTCAATGGTGGCCTTGGTTGTTGGCTCGATTGGCTCAAAGCCCCTTGGATTTGGTCACACAAGTCCAATGCCTTACTCAGCTCGGCCTCAACTGCTGGGCCTTTGCTGTCGGCGGAGGACCGTGCGGTGCTCCCCGCAACTCCCGCTGCGTACAGTGGGGGTGCTTGGAGACGACGCTGCTCCAGCCACTTGGTTTGGGCTGCTACAGCTTCTGCTTCTCGCCTGGCGGTTTCCAGGTCAGGGATCTCGCACACCTCGTAACTGCTGTAGCTCGAGAGCGAATCTCCCCACTCAACTTCCGTCTCGTTGCCAAATTCTTCTGCTGGCGCGTCAGCTGCCGCGGCTGCGATCTCTTCTGGGACCTCTGGCTGAGGCTGGTCCAGAATGCGCCGGGCTTCGCTGATGTAGTGCTCGTCCGGTACGAGGGACCAGGCCTACTTCAGCCTCTTCGTTCGCCTCTAAGGCTGCTTGGCCTGGGGGCGGGGCTGACCGCGCTCTCCTTTCGCTAGTGGACACCCGTGGGGGTCTACTTGGCTCGGGAGGAGCGGTGTCTCCTTGTTGCGGCTCTGTCTGAGTCGCTGCTTGCGCCTGTTGGGCTGCTAGCTCAGCCTGTCTTCGGCGGTCTTGTCCTCGATCGATCCGGCGCTGTGTCGCTGCAACGGAACGATGTCCACGGCGATTCCTGTCCTGAGTGAATCGACTCGTTCGGGTCGGTCCCGAGCGTCCCCTGCCGCTTGTCTCCGTAGATGACGTCGGCTGCGCAGATCGGGCTCGGTTGTCCCAATCCCTGTTGTCTTGCCAAGAGCGGTCGTACCACTGGTCTTGGCCTTGCCAGTTTCGATCCCACCAACTGGAGGATCTATTCCACGGATCTACGTGATCCTGTCCTGAGGACGTCGTGTTGTTGGGGTTTGCCACGTGCCTTGGCACGCGGGACTACCCGCTGAGATTGGCGATGTCGATCTCGGCCTTAGCCGGCGGATCGACCCGCACTGAACCTTGGAGCGGAGGGTCTACCCTCACAGCTCCGCTACCATGCAAACAGCGAAGTTACACGGTGGGTGCGTATTGGGCTCAAAACACGGTTGGTGACCACACAGCACTGTTGACTCGGTCACCTCACTTTTCCTCGAGTAGCACGGATGTGCTAAAGGGGCTGCGGTCACGTCAAGTGTCTTACATGACATGCCATCTCTACTCCTAGCTAGGGGGACCTTCGCCGGGGCAGCTCTGCGGGATGCTCGTCGCAGGAAACAGCAAACATACCCAGAACTTCTCCGCAGCCGACGCTGCAAATTGGTGGTCTTAGGATTGGAAGTGGGAGGCAGGTGGAGCCAGGAGGCAACGTCCTTCATCAAGCTCCTGGCACAACATAAAGCACGTCAAGCCCCGCCAACCCTCCAACATTCCATCACAACAGCGCTGATAGCCAGATGGTCAGCACTTTTGACACATGCTGCCCAGCAAGCCTTTGCAGCAACCCTGGTTGAAACCCCCCAAGCCCTCGCCAATCACACCAACACCGAAGGCAATGAACCAACTTTCAGCCAACTTCTTGCGGAAGCACCCCCCCCAAACCCCCCAGCCAGCCGGCTCCCACCACAGTAAGCACTTAAGTCCCCAAAAGGGTTTGGATTTATGCCCTCCCTCAAGCACATCTGGAGACTGGCCAGTATAAAACAGTCAGCAGGGAGAGCTGGACCTCATGCGGAAAAAGGTGCGGAGGAAAAAAAAGAAAAAACATGAGAAGGTGTGATGGTGTGATGTGACGATGAGAAAATGTTAAGATGAGAAGGTGTGAAGAGGTGAGGATGTGAAGAGGTGAGGATGTGAAGATGTGAAGATGTGAAGATGTGAGAATGTGAAGGTGTGAAGATGAAAAGATGTGACGATGTGAAGATGAAAATATGTGAAGATGAGCAGATGTGAAGATGAGAAATTCTGAACATGTCAGGAGATGAAGATGTGAAGGATGTGAAGATTTGATGTGAAGATGAGAAGGTGTGAAGATGGGAAGATGTGAGGAGGTGAGGATGCGAAGAGGTGAGGATGTGAAGATGTGAGGATGTGAGGATGTGAAAATGTGAAAATGAGAAGATGTGAGGATGTGAGGCGTGAGGATGTGAGGATGTAAAGATGTGAGGATGAGAAGGTGTGAAGATGTGATGTGAAGATGAGAAAATGTGAAGATGAACAGATGTAAAAATGAGCAGATGTGAAGATGTGAGGATGTGAAGATGAGAAGATGAAACGATGTGAAAATGAGAAAATGTGAAGACGAGAAGATGCGAAGATGAACAGACGTGAAGATGATAGGATGTGTAGATGTGAAGATGTGAGGATGAAAAAATGTGAGGTTTTGAAGATGTGATGTGAAAATGCGAAAATGTTTCCAGCACCAGCTCCAAAACACACGCCAAAGCCACCAGCACCTGTTGCAACGCATCCCAGACATCGACGATTTGCAAGCCTCATGGCTTTTGCTACTGTTTTGCGCCAGCCCACGGTGCAACCATATCCTCCGAACCACTGCTCCGGCCCTAGCTGCCGACTTTGCCGCTGACCACGATGTGGCCGTTGCAGGATGCTTGCAACAACTGTTGGGGGGCCCGGATCTGCCAGCCACAGCTCTGGCCACAGCCCACGTGCCACTTGCTCAAGGTGGTTTGGGCTTGCAATCTGCCACAGCCACCACACCAGCAGCATATTGGGCGTCTTGGGCAGACACCCTGCCCACCTTAGCCCGGCAATTGCCAGCATTCACAGCACGTGTCCAAGACTTTATTTCCAATCCCGCCCAAGCCCCACCGTCCATCAGTGCCAATGGCTGGAACCCACCAACCTGGCACGACCTAACAAATGGCACCTCGCCACCCCGCCCAGCAGACCTCCCCAACGAAGGGCCCACCACCCCAGGCTGGCAGCACAAAGCAGCAATGGTGATCCAAACCAGATGCCGAGCACAATTATTCACAGCTCTCGACCCAGCTAGCCCAGCAATGCTCACCAGCCAAGCCGGCCCCCATTCCAGCCGGGCATTTACGACCATCCCCTTCGGTATCCTTCACACCTTTTTCTGCAAAGGCTGAACGGGAACGCACTCACCTTTTTGTGCCAAAGGGGCCTCACACAAGTAAAGATCCTGACATGATATTCATGCCAATGTGAGTTGAACTGCGTGACACTGAAAGCACTGTTACATCTCGTCGTGTCATCCCTGCCATGAGTACGGTGAGCAATTGTTCGTACTCCTCCTCAAAGCTCTGAGCGCGGCTTGAAGTCTTTGCCATGCTCCTGACTGATTTCCAGATCTTTTCTCTGTAAAATCAATCTCGAAAGTTTCTTCCAGCTATTCAAGTCACGAAAGGTAGCGTCAGCTACCTGAGTTCTCCGTGCTTCAGCACAAGCTTAGGGGGTATTGGGGGGCCAGCCCGTGGAATTCATGGAATTCTCGCCGTTATGTATTGGATATCAATTATTAGGCCCCCCCCCCGAAAATGGTCATGGGTTCAATTCCCAAGGGTGACGCGGTCACGGGCCCCCACATTAGAGGCACACTTTCCATGAGGGAGATGTCCCTGTAGTCCAGCATAATTGGTTTGCTTCAGCCTCAATAACAGTTGCTGCAAGGGGTCTTAAAAAGGGGTTTTTAATAAACCCCTTTTCGTGCATCATTTCACGCTGCACAAGACACCGTATCATGCAGTCATGCTCTGGATAAAATCATCTTAGACTGCGCAAAAAAGTTTTTGGTGTATCATCTTAGGGGCGCAACATTTTGACACCACTCCTCTCCCACTACACTACCTTTCGTCCGCCTCCGCCTGCTCTCAAGTTTCATCCATGTCTCAAAACTCCATGTAAATCATCTACGTAGCGGCGGTATGCCTGTGCTCGATCTTCTCTGCCTCTGTTCCTTGCAGTTCTGTACAATCTCTGGACAACGTTCATGATGGTGTTGACCACATCAATGCTCATACCTCTGGGACTTCCTGTGCTGCTTGCGTCGAGCACTGTCATCAATGCACGTTGTATCTGCGCAGCATCATTCCAGAGTTCTGAAGCTAAAGCCACGTTTTGGTCGTTGCGCCAGGAATCCATGAGGTTTGACATGCCTTCTGTCTCTCCCTGAACTTCTTCATCCTCAGTGAGTGCTTCTTCTTCTCCACCTTCTGTTGGGCCTGCTGCAGGCTCATCTGTATCTTCTGGTCGATTGCGTTGCATGTTCCGAAGCACAAAGTTTGCACGTTCTTGTGTGAACATGTGACTGCGCCGCACTGCGCTCAAAATTTCATTCCTGACAAAACCTCCAAATTCCATCAGGCCATATCTGATGCAGTCTGTTGCATGATCAAGAACTGTAAGAGCATCACGCGTGTCCTCCTCGTGATGTGCTAAACGCGTGGCGTTGGCATCGACAGTTTCTCCAAGAGTTTCAATTGTAGGGGTTTGTTTTCGCTGCAACGCAATATGCGCCCCAACCCACCAGCTCTTGCAGCATGTGCCACCGCAACCACATTGCCCCCAACATGGCCCCAGAACGCTCGCCCTCGACTTGCAACGGGGGGAGCGAGGGTGGGTCTGCACCAGACACACCACCCCACCACAAATCCAGCCATGCACGCCAGAAGCACTCCACGCACCAGAGCCCACTGCAGCAGCCGCCCAGGCACCAACAAATGAAACCACAGCAGCGCGCCGTTGGCTCAATTATTGGCCCCCCGCAGCAGAACCACACGGGCCCAACCATGCCCAACCAATAGCTGGCTTTATGTGCCACTCCTTCATGCCGGCGCACGGCGCTTGGCGGCTCCGGCTGAACAAGCGTGGCTTTCCCACCCTAACAGCTCCACTGACTGGGAAGACCTCGTCGTGCAGCAACTGCGTCGGGCACCGCCTGTGGCATGGCAGACGTTGCACCACACACTCGTTGCCTTGCAAGAAATCACCGCCCAAAGTGCTGGACCCTCGCCACCCGCAGAGGCCAACATCCCTGACACACTCGCAGCAGCCGGGCGTTCCTTGCCCCAAGCAGCACAAGTTCACCTACCGTGGGTGTTGAACCACCTGACTGACACTGCGGGATACACCCCAGCCACAGTGCAGGAAACCCTTCTCCACCATTTTTTTGGGAGAACGTTTGGCAGCCGAGCGGCCGCTCGCCAACCAGTGGCGACAACCACAGCCAGCGGCACCACCAGCGCCCACCAGCCCGCAGAACCACACCGCCACACAGCAACAACCGCCCAACCCCCCCACAGAACCAAATGGAGACGCCTGCAACCCCAACACCGCATCCCACGACAGCAGCAGCAACAGCAGCAGTGAAAGCAGCACCTCTTCCACCAGTTCCACCAGCTCCACACAAGCACTGGTCACCCAGACCGCAAACACAGCAGCGCCACCAGCGCTACAGCAACAACACGCACCATCCAGAACAGCCAACACTGTCCCGAACGAAGCAACCATGAGACGTGCACTGCACAGCCTGGACCGCATTGACCTCCTCGGCACCATGCGAACGAGAACCTTCACATTTGCCACGCTACCACAGTTCATCCGGGGGCGGCTCAGGGCAGCTTTGCATTCCAGCCTGGGGCAAATCATTGCAGCTCGCACGGATGATGAATCCACCCGTGCCTGGACCCTTTGGCTCCTCCTGCACCGCATGCTCCTGCACCGGCCGCCTGGCACACCCACCTTGCCCAAAGAAGTATGGCGTCGACGCCTGGCTGCTTTCCAACGCGGGGAGTGGCAACAGCTGCTGGACGCGGCGGCAGGGCACGAACCCTCACCAGACACAAACCCCCAAGCACAACAACAAACCGAGGCCTCTGCAAGAAGGGCCCAACGTGCAAGACACTTAGTGCACCAAGGGGAATTGTCAGCAGCACGGCAGGCTCTCATCGCTACACCCCCGGCACCTGGCACCCAAGCCACTTTGGCACAGCTCCAAGACCCAGCAAGACGGCCATTGCACCCATACACACCCATCCCGGCAGAGATCACATGGTTTGCCCCAGAACAGCCGTTGCAAATCCCAACCCACAAGTTGCTCACTGCGTTACGGTGATCCCGAAAGGGAGCAGCCCCAGGCCCCACCGGCCTCACCGCAGACACACTCCGCATTGTTCTGGATGACGAAACCACCACAAACTTGTTCGTCGATGTCTGTCAAAAACTTGCCCAGGGGCCCAGGTCCCTGCCAGCATTGCCAAAGCCATTGGTTTGGGACGAATTGTGGCCCTTCAGAAACCAAGTGGAGGGGTCCGTGGGCTGGTCATTGGACACGTGTTGCGCCGAGTGGTCTCATGCTGCCTGGCACAAATGTTTGCCAGCCACCTTCACACAGCATGTAGCCCCCACCAATTTGCTTTGTCCACCCGTGCTGGCATTGGGGCAGTCATCCACGCGCTCACCACCGCCACAGAGCACGAGCACACCAGCACCATCCTTTCCATTGACGGCATAGGCGCATATGATACATTATGATACCATATCCAGAACCAGCATGTTGCAAGGGCTTCGCACCACACCTGAAGCCAACCGCTGCCTCCCATTCGTCCGCATGTGGTACACCCGTGAGCCGGAACACATATGGCATGACTCCGCCGGCCACCCCCGCTCAATCACCCAAGCCGAAGGCGGAGAACAAGGAAACCCCTTGATGCCGGCTTTGTTTTCCTTGGGCCAATACAAGCAGTGCAAGCACAGCTCCAGCCTGGAGAAACCTTGTACGCCTTTCTGGATGACATATACGCGGTCGTGCAGCCAGACCGAGTCCGTCCTGTATATGATTTGTTGGCCAACCACCTGGAAGCACATGCCCACATCCGCCTCAACCAGGGCAAAACTCGTATTTGGAACCGTGGCGGCCACCAACCAGCCAACACCCAAAGCCTTGGGCCCGAGACATGGGCAGGCAACCGGGAACTCCCTCCCACCCAACAAGGTCTCACCGTGCTGGGGGCCCCCCATCGGCACAGAACAGTATGTGCAAATCACAAACCTCTGCTCGACCAATTGCCGCAGATCGCGGATCTCCAAGCAGCATGGCTGCTGCTACTGTACACTGCCAGCCCTCGCAGCAATTACTTGCTCCGACTGCTCCCGCCTGCACAGACCGGGCTTCGCAGCAGACCACGACCTAGAAGTGACGCGCTGCCTCACACAGCCCCTGCAAACCAACCAGTTGCCGGTTGACGCGGCGGCGCGGGCACACTTGCCATTGGCCATGGGAGGCTTAGTTAGGACTGATGAGTGCATCCCACCTCGCAGTGCCAGCTTTTTGGGCATCCTGGGCAGACGCCGTCCCTGTCTTGCACCGTCAAACGCCAGCCGTTGCAACTGCCATCCTTGAGATGTTTGCAGCCCCGGCGGCAGCCCCGCCAAATGTGCAGGCAGCCCTGGACACCCGCCAGGCCATTGCAGAACAAGGGTGGGAACCCCCCACTTGGCAACAACTTATCGAAGCACAGCCACCGCATAGCCACACAGAAGCTTTCGCAGGCCCCATACAACCGGGCTGGCAACAACATGCTTCCCTTCCTTTCAACACCGCAGCTAGAACGGGGTTGTACCACACATTGGACCCCGCCAGCCAAGCCATGCCGGACTCACAAACAGGGCCGTTTGCCAGCAGAGCTTTCACAACCATCCCATACACTTCAGAAGTCACATACCCAGACAACATTTTCCGCATCCTCTTGCTACGCCGCCTCCGGCTCCCATTGCCCCTTGCCGAACGTGTCTGTCGGTGCCGTCGCATTCATGACCCCCTTGGCGACCACCGTTCAGCCTGCGCCCGGACAGGTGTTTTGAGAAGCCGGGGAGTACCCCTTGAACACGCAGCTGCTCGGGTCTACCGTGAAGCCGGCGCCCGCGTCACAATGCACACCCGGCTGGCCCACCTCAACTTGCCAGCAGTCCAACGCATTGATGAACGAACCATCGAAGTCATAGCCAATGGACTTCCGCCCTGGCACGGTTCGCAACTCGCCATTGACACCACGTTGGTCTCACCCCTCACCAGTGAAGCACAGCCACGCAGGAGGGGGGAGGCGGTATGCAGCAGCAGCCCTACACACAGCCCGGCGCACCAAAGAAAGGACCTATCCGGAATTGGTTGCGTCCAGCAGGTGCCGTTTGGTGGTCCTGGGTATTGAGGTGGGGGGGAGGTGGAGCACAGAAGCAACCCAGTTCCTCCGCTCGCTCGCGCAGAACAAAGCACAACCAGCCCCAGCCCCTCTGAGACATGCCATGATCACGTCCTTGCTCAGCCGGTGGTCCGCCATCATCACACACGCCGCTCAACACGCTAAAGGACCAGGCGCAGACACGGCGGAAAAAGGTGCGAGGAAAAAAAAGAAATTGGCTCCTCCTGCTCAACTTGAAGGAATGCATCCTTCACGTCCAAACAACCTAGCACTGTATCGTACTCTGCAGTGTCTGGGAGACCTTTTGTCATCTCTTTCACCCACAAATACTTCAGGGGAATCAAGTTGGATGTATGAGCCCCAGTGGCCGGGCTGAAGGTGTCTAGCCTCTTTTCTGACGCAAATTCTCGGGCCACATATCTTGAACGACGCATCCAACGTTTGACTGTCTCCCCTTTCTCATTCACATCGTTTTTCAATCTCCAATCCCTGACAAACTTGGTAGTCAGGCGGCCTGTCACCTCACCATTGAACTTCTGCAGGAACCAACACGCCCATTCCAACCAAACGTTTGGCTTCTGTATCATTTGGCAGGTGCTCTGCCCACTTCTCAGGAGACTGAGTGGGCAAAACATCGATGGGAAAATCAGCCCAAAGATGCTCTGAAATTGTTCCCAAGTGGACCTCATTTTCACCGGCCCAAATGTCCTCCTCCATTGCACCATCATCTTCCAAGTCCAGTTCTGTAGAGTAGTCATCCATTGTGAAGTACTCCTTGTATGCAATTTTCACTGCATTGAGTCTTGATTCATATTCCATCTGGATCCTGTTGATTCTCTGACGTTTTGACTCCTCAGTGCGAGCTCTTTTGGAAACATCATCCTCCTCCAAAACCAAATCGCCCCTAGGCCTTGCAGAAGCAGCTTGTCGAGGACTGCCTGAATCAATCTCCAAAAA